TCGTTCATGTCAACTTCCGATACATAAATGATCTTATTTCTAGTGAAATGGTCAGAGGTCTGGCACTCCACAAATTCAAAAATGATCATCTATGTTTGTGTGTGAATGTGGGAACCAATCCAAGAAAGGTCATCTTGTAATCATTGAAAATTCAATTTTCAAACCATTAGAACTTCTTCATATTGATCTTTGTGGACCATCCACTGTAGAAAGTCTGCATCATAAAAAATATATTCTTGTGATTGTTGATGACTACACAAGGCTAACCTGGGTCTTCTTCCTTAGGCTAAAATCCGAAACAACCTCTGAACTTATTAACTTCATCAAAGAATTAAAGTTCTATTCAAACTTCGAGTTAGAAGAATCCGAAGTGACAATGACTCGGAATTCTCCAATTTCACCATTAGGAAATTCCTCTCTGATAAAGGCATCGACCACAATTTCTCTGCTCCCTACACTCCTCAACAAAATGGTGTGGTTGAAAGAAGCAACCAAAATCTCGTTGAGGTCGCTCGATCGATGCTGAACTTTGCAAATTTTCATCTTTATCTTTGGGCTGAAGTTGTGTCTACTACCCGTTTCACTAAAAATTGAAGCATCATTAATCACCATCTCAATATGACACCGTATGAAGCCATGAATGGTCGCAAGCTGAGTATCTCGCTCTTAGATGTTTTCGACTACAAATTATTTATAAAAAAGAACCATGATTAACTCACCGAGTTTCAACCCAAAATTGATGAAGCAATCTTTCTAGGATACTCAAAAAAATCCAAAGCCTACAGAGTTCTGAGTCATAGAACTCGTGTACTTTAGGAAAGATTTGATGTAACTTTTGGTGATAATTTTGTTTTGAACTCTAGTCCAACTGATGTTACAACTCACATAATGGAGTCCGATGCTGCAACTCCTAGGTCTCCAAATTCCCAAATCATATATGCAGTTGACTTCGAAATCCTTTGTAGGCTAATAGAAACTGCTCTTGATTCAGAATCTCGATCAATACCATCCTCGTCAGCTACAACTCCGATTTCTCAAAATTTCTTTGGTCCGACACCCACATTTCCTCCATTTAATTTCGATTTATTTCAACCTTCTCATGTTAGGGGGGAGAATTGTCATCCACCCCCCGAATTAAATGTTGATGGATTTCTAGATGCAGTAGATCAATTCGCTGAATTTGATCCCATTCCGATCAACAACGAAGACGATGCTAACTTCTTTTACTTTCCGAATGATGAGGAAGTTGACATATCCGGTTCTGAAGTTCAGTGGGAGCATCATCCTCAAATTCAAATTGTCCATGGGGAGAAACACAACCCTGTTTTTGATATTGGATCATCCACTGCGTAAGAACTTCTGAGATTACACATCCGAACAAAGGATCATCCTCCAAATCAAGTCATTGGAAATGTCAATGCTAGTGTTCAAAGTCATTCTGCTACCAAAATCTAAAATGAATGCCACTTCTCGACATTCATATCAATGGTTGAACCAAAATCCATCAAGGAAGCTTTAGAACATGCTGATCGGATCACAAACATGCAAGAAGAATTAGCAGGATTTGACCGAAATGAAGTGTGGACTCTTATCCCTCGTCTTTAGGATCACCCTATTGTTGGCACACGATGGATCTTCCGAAATAAGATCAACGAAATCAGAGTTATAATCTGAAACAAATTGAGATTGGTGGCCAAATGTTTTAGTCAAATAGAAGGACTTTATTCCGACGAGACTTTTGCTCATGTTGCTCGTCTTGAAGCCATTCAAATCTTTCTCACTTATGCAGCTCACAATGGCTTTAAAGTTTACCAAGTGGACATTAAAAGTGCCTTTCTCAATGGCAAACTAGATACCAAAGTGTATCTTTAACAACCCCTGGTTTTGTAAATCTTTCATATCCAAATTATTATTAAAAACTTCAAAAAGCTGTTTGTGGCCTTAAAACTCTCACTGATTTTCTAAAGCTTTCCTGTTTTTCAAAGAGGAATTCTTGATCCTATGTATTCCGAAGATCGAATGGAAACCATCTCATGTTATTCCAAATATATGTTGATGATATCATCTTTAGATACATGCATTCAACAATGGTTGCTGATTTCGCAAAGTTAATGGCTAGTCGATTCTAAATGAGCATGAATCATGAATTAAGTTTCTTCCTCGGACTTCAATTCAAGAAAACCAACAAATGAATCTTTATTCACCAAAAGAAATACATTTCCGAACTTATGAAAAAGTATTAAATGAACACCTATGCCTCTGCAAAGGTTCAGTTGGGTTCCAGACACAAGATCTTCTCGAACCTCTCAGGTGTTGCTGTTGATCAGAAGAAGTATATGGTAATGATTGGATCGCCACTCTACCTTACTGCAAGTCTCCTGAACATCATGTTCTCTACATGCCTGTGTACTAGATTTCTGGTTAATTCGAAGATGTCTCATCTTCTAGCTCTCAAGCAAATATTTTGATATCTCAAAGGAACAAAGAACCTCAAAATTTGGTATCTGGAAAATGAAAGTTTCCTTCTTGAGGCATAAGCTGACTCAAACTATGGAGGTCTTCAACTGGATAGAAAAAGCACTTCCGGAGGTTGTCAAAATTTGGATGGAAGATTGGTTAGTTGTTCATCTAAGAAGCATAATTGCATTGCTCTCTTAACAACCGTAGCAGAATACATTATTGCTGCAAGCTATACTTCACAAGTTCTTTGGATGAAATCTCATCTTCTGGATTATAGTTATCGATTTCAATAGATTCCAATCTATTATGAAACTTAAAGTGCAATTGTGATTTCTCACAATCCAATTCAGCACTCCATGACCAAGCACAACGATATTCAATACCATTTCATTAAAGGTCATGTATTAAAAGGAAACATCAAACTCATTTTTGTTCCATCTGATGATCAAATTGCTGATGTCTTTACTAAGGCAATAGATGAAACCAAATTTAATGGGAATGATGATGCCTGATCCACAATTCTACCAAGAGGATTGTACTCTCCGATGGAATCACTAGAAATTAAAATAATGTGAGTTCATCTCTTATCTTCATCCGAGTTGTGATCCTTCAATTTTGGGAATCTCAATATGTTGAAACTGGTCCTCTAAGATATTCATGCATTTTCTCTGATATTCAGTTTGAGACTGTGCCATCTTGAACTTTATATTATGTACTAACGATGTGTTCATATTCTTTCTGAAGTATCTTATGACATCTCATCTCATAATCCAATTGTTTCGAGATCCTCGGTTGAAAAAGAATTTCAAAGGTTTTCATTAAAGTTTTTAATATGAAATGTTTTCTTATTTATATATTAATGATAATTTTTCTTGATGATTATGCTTTAATTCTCAATAAACATGCTTTGGCAAACGTTCCAATAAAACGCATCGCAAGTCAGAGATGAAACGATAGCTGTTTAGGATACCATTTTCGGCAATGCATTAAATGCAACCCATTTTGTGTTCGTGTGTCATCATTACCTTTTCAACCCGACCCGGAATATCCTATCACAAAAATCCCCAACCCTAAACTTCCTCATCGCATTCTTCACAAAGCATTTGAACAGATCAAAATCGAAAAGAACCTGCTGAAAGTTAAGATCGCCGACAACAAAATCGTTCCTCTGCACAAGAACACATTCCTCAAAGCAATCGGCATTCCAGATCACCCTAAGGGTTTTTGTGCTCAAGAGCCCATGACTGAAGATTTTCATATGTTTCTCAATTAAATAGGTTAAAATGGTGAAGACAAGGCTAAGGAGTTCAAGAAATCCGCTATTCTTGGCATTTGGATTGTTCTGATGCACCTAATCCTTCAAGGTTTGTCCGACAAGCATCATGGTACTGACACCCTGATCAAAAATTGGTTGTAAGTCGTATACAACATCTATTCTGGAAAACACAACGTAATTGATCTGATTGAGGTGCTATGACAGTACTTTCGAAAGTTTTCCATCAAAAGGAAGCCTAATGACATCTCAAGTCCGAGATTTTGGGCTCTAATGCTTCAATTGTTGTACGATGAAAGATTAGAAGCCATTCCTCTCAATTCTAATCTCAAAGAGGTATACTTTTCTTTTAAGGCTATTAAAACTTATAGGCCACCGAACCAATCTGCTTTCTGACCTATCCGATCTTTTCCAGAACATATGTTGGCTGCAGTTCCATCTGATTCAATATATCTCAAACACCATCATGAGACTTCGGTTGTGTATGACCCTACACAATCTGCCCCAGTCTTGGATTTGGAAGTGAACAACCTATTTTCTATTGATTGTCGTAAGAAGAAAATTGCTAAACGAAAGGCCTCACCCTCAAATGTTAAAAACAAAAAGAGAACCAAAGCCAGTGAATCCTCTCAACAAAAACACATATTGGCACTCGATCTGAATCTGGATCACAACCCAACCTTCCCATCCACTCTTCCAAATTACCCTTCAGTGTTTCGTTATCACATGCACATAGTCATGGGAAGTCAACACATAATCTACACTCATCTCCCCAAAAAAGATGTTGTTGGTATTGAAAATAGTCCCTCGAACCACCTGGGTTTTTAGAAACCCCTTTCGATTATACACATGCATAATTAGGGGCCCCTTCCTATGATTCTAAGCTTTCCGAAGCTGGAGCAGTCCCTCCTACTTTGAAAGCATCAACCGTTCTGATACCTAGTTTAGGTAAAGGATGATCATGTATTTTTTTTTTTTGACAAAGATTGGTTTGATTTTGCAGACAGGGCTGACTCTCATCATCCAAAGCTAACAATAGCACAAGTGGAGTATATGCTTATCTCAATGCGTCAAAGAGCTCTTCAAAGTAGTGGTCCATTCAACTTTCCATCTGATGAATAGACTGATCAAGTGTTCCATCCTTCCGAAGAAGCTCAACAAACCACTACAGGATATGATCCTGATCCTAAAATTGTTTCGGATGATCCTCCTCTGACATTCACAAGCAATAAAACTCCCAAGCCTCCCTCCGATAAAGAACATTCTGATGACATACTGTTTGATGACGACAACACATCTGTTGGTATCATTCCAATCACCACCTCTTTCAAGTCGCTACAGAAGCCTTCCTTCTCCAAACCACTATATGATTTCGGCTTTCTGCATTTCCTCCTCCTCCTCCGAAGAAGAAGAAGAAGTAAATGTTGATGCCAACACTAAAGGCAATCAAGGCAATGGAGTTCGAGTCAATCCAACTGATAATCCATCGCCACCCGAACCTCAAGATGATAATGGTGATGCCGATGATAAAAAGTCTGAGAGTTTTACCTCAAACACAGGATCTTCGGATGAAAACATTGCAGATCCTTTTTCCTTGTTAGAACTCCAAGACAACTTTGCTGCTGCTGTTTCCAAAGTTGATTCTCTTGATAAAGTCGTTGCACATATTAACTCTAAGGCCGATCAGAAGGTTACCAGCTTCGACTCCAAGCTTGAACTCATTATCAAATCTCTCTTTGAGATCAAAGATGTTGGCCCCTTCGAACTCGATCAACCCAATCAACTTGACCAACTCATTTCACTCTGATTCAAGCACACTCTGGAAGAAGTTGAACAGAAATATAATGACAACCTTGATCATCATATCTCCACCACCACCATTATGCTCAAGATTAATGATGGCATGATCAGTGCTACTAACGAACTCATAAAACATACTCATATTCGTTATGAGAAACAAATTCAAAGGCTAGAAAAAAGATTCAAACAAAGGATGAGATGGATTTGATTATGCAACATGTTCTCATCAAGCTAATCCGAGCCACCTGGAATATCGTTGATGTTTCAAATTACAAATTCGATGAAATTCTTATCATCATTGATGAAACTTTTGCTCATCTTAAAGCTCAAACTCCCATTGCTAAAGCCTACAACTCTCTGTCCAAAAAGATCAACTCATCAACATGAGCTTCCGAAGAGTGTTCGAATGCTTAAGTGAGCTTCAAAGTAGTGCCAAACTTGCATTGGATGTAAGTCCTTCCAATGCAAAGGAGAGGGGGAGAAGAAGCTAGTGGAAGAGAAAGAAAGATTCAATGGACACATGTATCAGAATTTATACTTCGAGATGAGTCCTCCGAAGAAGTACTCGAGGTTGAATCTCTTGAACCTCTTGAGTTTGGTGATGAAGAAAATAAAGACCTGGCTGAAATGTTATATTGGACTTCAAGCTATTAGGGAACAAACTATGAAGGTCCTTTCAGATGCAGAAAAGCTCAAATGGTCCTCGGTTACATGTGCATCATCGTTAGCGGAAACGTTAAGACAAAGATGAGATATGACAAAAATCAAAACAAAGCTAAACATCGACGCATTCTAAGCAACACAATCTATGCTTCCACCAATCCTTGCTTCGAGGATCATTTAGATCGATGAAGGTTCTCCAACCTTGAAACCGGATGATCTCCCTAAAGAGCCTCTTGTTTCTCCTCTCCTAGAATTCATCATCACCGAATCCAGCAAACAAATCATCTTTGACTTGAATGAACCTCCACAAGACAAAGGAAATAATATTGATACTGAATCGGACATCCCAGTAAAGACGTCAAAATATCTGAAGGCTGGTCTCAAAGAACAAATAAATCAAGCTTTGGAAGAAAGCAACATGATTCAATCACTAAAACACAATCTAAATCCGTTGCTTGGTGTATCTCGTCTTTTTTAAGAATGAGGTATTCACGATATTCACTTTGTGCCCTTCATGTACTATGATCTTCCAAAACAGGATGTTGATCAACATGATGTACCAATCTCTCCTCATGGTCAATTCTACATCAAGTACGCTCCTCTTCACCAGAATAATGATCCTCAAATAATCATCAGGATATAGTGTGAGAGATTAAGAACCTTCTACTACGTTAACACACATCTTCAAAAAAAATTGTGGCATTGGAAGCAGATTACCAAGATCGTTGGATGCGGTAACATGGTTCAGAGCAAGTTCGATCTCAACTGTATGCTCTATATATATTATGTCTCTCATAACAAGGAAGCACTATCACTATCACAAATTCCGAATATACCTCAATCAACCCCAATGACATTCTTACCATCGCTGGTCACTTCCAAGATCACCAAACAAGTCACTCAAGCATCAGAGCTTACAATTCTACAATCAATTTCTTGAAGGAATAAGTTGCAGAATTTTGCAGGTCTGACATTGAGTTTGCTCGCTTATTTAGAAACAAAAATGTTTTGGCGAAAATTACTTATGAACTGCCTGAAGCTCAGATCTTGGAAGAAGGACACATTAAGGAACCGAAACTCGACTATATCTATATCAAAAAGAAGACCAACCAAAAATAATTCTGTAGAGTTCTTGACAAACATCTAGTTCTAACGAATATCCTTCAGATGTTCATCTCCAACACTACAAAAAGTGACTCTCCTAAGCATGTGAAGAAGAAGTTCATTGAACACCTCAAATGGCATTTTGAAGTCTGAAGCTGGCTACACGGTGCCTATGTCTTTGTGTTTGATGAAGCTAATTGAGTTGATTGATTTTTAAGTTCACTTAGGGGAATATTGTTGATACATAAAAGTGAAACTCTAGCAATCCGAAGCCAAACCAAATCCGAAGGCTAGTGAAATCCGAGGTGTGAAGAGTTCGGAAGTCGGTCTTCTTCCGATACGAAAACTTATCCGAGACATTCGTAGTTTTTGATGTAATAAAGTCTGTACAAGCATTAAATGCTCATTTTCATTTTTTATTGATTGAATTGTTCATAGGACAAAATTGAGTAAATCACATGTGTTAGCTTTTCTGACGTATCAGATTTACATTCTCTATGTAAGTTTTGTATTTTGGCTTATTGTCTCTCCTTTCCTATTTAATGAGATGAATTTTCCATGCATTGTAACCCGGACGTAGCAATATTCTCTTCACATCAAATACTAAATATCTTACAAGTCAAATATCTTTCTCTATCGTTCTCTTGTTCTTAAGTTATCTTTACTTTGCTCGTACTCACTTTACTTTACTTAAATATTTTGTTGAATACCTTGTTGATATTCATACTTCAAGACAAGATTGGTTTACCAGACCTGACTGAACCAAAAAGTTTAGCAGTAGATATTGATCTAAAGTTACTTCAAGGTTTGATTTTTCAAACCTTGTTTGCGCACTAAGTCTTGCACTTTCATGCATCGATCAGACATGCAAGGTGTTTGATAAAATGCCTGAGAGAAAAGTGTTCATTTGGACTTTAGTGATACGATTATATTGCAAACTGGGTGATTATTAGGAGACCATCAATCTATTTTATTTGATGATTGATAAAGGGGTTCATCCTGATTACTTTGTGTTTCTAAAAGTGTTCAAAGCGTATGCTCAACTCAAAGATTGTCGGGCTGGGAAGGACATACATGATTACATGATGACAATCAGCTTCGAAGGGAATAATCCTCTCAAAAGAGAATTCTTGGACATGTTCATCAAATGTGGAAGGATGGATATTTCAAGATGACTGTTTGAGCAGATGAGTTCCAATGGTGTTATCATGTGGAACGTGATGATCTAGATACTTTTCAAAGAAAGACTTCAAAAGGCATTAAGGTATGTTGATCAAATGAGGCGTAAAGGTATGATGCCTGATCGAGTTACATGGAACACAATCCTTAATGGTTATGCTCAAAATGGACAGTTTAAAGAGGCTGCAAAATATTTCTCAGAAATGGGTGGATTTGGAGAATTAGAACCAAATATCATGTCATGGACTGCATTAATCATATGTCATTTACAAAATGGATACTTGTATCAAGCATTATATTTATTCAAGAAAATGGTAACTTGAGGTGTAAAACCAAATTCCACCACCATCTCAAGTGTTATTTCGGCTTGTGCTTACTTATCTTTGGAAAGAAAGGGAAGGAGATTCATGGGTATTGTATAAATAATGAAGAATTTGATTCAAATTTATTCATGCGCAAGTTGTTGATTAGCGTCTATTCCAAATCCTAGAGGTTAAGTGATGTGGCAAGAAAACATTTCAATAGAATCAAACAAAAAGATTTTGTTTCTTGGAATTTGATTCTTTCTATGTCTACTATGAAAGGCATTCATGATGATATCATCGAATTCCTTTATGAAATGGAGTTACAAGGAGTTTCACTAGATATTATCACATGGAACAAAATAATCACAAGCTTTAATCAATATGGTGATGCTAAAATAGCTCTAGAATTCTTTTCTAAAATGTGTCAACTCATTGTTTCTCCTAACACAATCACCATATCCGGAGCCTTATCTGCTTGTGCAGAAACAAAAGATTTATATTTTGGGACAAAGATTCACAATTATACAATCGATGTGATGATCTTGAAGCTGTATATGATGTCTTTCATGGACTTCTAGAAAAGATCTTGTAATTTGGAACACCCTTATTGCTTCTAGTGGGAAAACCAGATTTAGAGTTGGAGCATTAGACCTGGTACGTGAAATGAATATGAAAAAGTATTTAAACCCGATTCAATCACTATGATTTCGTTTCTCTCTGTGTTTTCAAAGCTTGATGCTTTACGCCAAGGTAAAAAGATTCATCTTTATATAATCATACATGGACTTGATTCAAGTAACTTTGTATACAATGGCCTTATTTACATGTATGCATAATGTGGTTCTATTAAACAAATTCAAAGTTTTTGAAGTTTTAACATCTCAAAAACGAGACATTGTGTCATGGAACATGATGATGTCAACATACAAAATGCATGGGATCATTTGAATTGTCTCAAGTTATTTGATTGGATGACAGTTCAACAAGAAGGGTTAAAACCGAACCATGCCACGTTCACAACCCTCCTCTCAACATGTAGTCACTTAGGGTTAACAAAAGTAGGGAAGGATTACTTCAAAATGATGAAAAAAATACGAATTAGATCTAGAAGTGGAGCAATATGCATGTATAATGGATTTAATCGCGTGTTCTAGTAATTTAACAGAGACATTGGATTTCATTGAAAAGATACATTTTGAACCCAATGCTGCTATATGGTGTTCTTTATTGGGTGCGTGTAGACTAAATGTGAATCTTGAAATGGTAGAACATGTTGCAAGATTCTTGTTTGAAACGGAACCCGAAAGTTCTGGAAATTATTGGAGAATATTTATTCAATGTTGGGAAGATTTGAGGATGCATTGAGAATATGGTTTTTGATGAAAGAGAGAGGGGTTACAAAAGCTCCTGGATGTTGTTGGATTGAATTTGATAGGAAAGTTTATAGCTTTATTATTGGAGATAATTTATATCCTTTTATGGATTTAGTTATGAAGAACATTGAAACAACCGGTTATTTCGGGTCAATAAAAATCTACATCTTAATCATGTATAAGTAAAACCACATTGTAACCTTGTTACATATAAATCACCTCTAGTCTTGATGACATATATATATATATATATATATATATATATATATATATATATATATATATATATATATATATATATATATATATATATTGAAAACCATTTTTATATAAGTTAACAGTTACACTTTGAAATCCATCCTTATATGAGACATATATACTGG